ATATACGAGCTAGAAATAAATTGGTTAAAAAGTTGAGAAAATATTTTAAATTAGTGTAATAAAATGTGACTTCAATCATAACTCAATAAAATGTGACTTCAATCATAACTTAAGAACCCACCTGGAATCAGTCTAAGAAAGATGGAAAGCAGCTGGAGGGACTATAGTTTTGCACAATTTCAGCTGTAAAACATGAAAACCGGATGAACTTTCTATTCCTCTGGCAATGCTAACAAGTAAGCAACATTGCCAACCCAAGAAAGAACTCGATAAGGACCAAAGTAACGAGGTCCTATTTATTGCCATGCCTACCCACCACCGAGCCTTGACGATAAGGTTGCAGACGTAGATACACCCAATCATCCACCTGGAGTATCCTCTCAGACCTTCGTTTGTCCGCGTACAATTTCTGGCAATTTTGTGCCTGATTAATATTGTGAGTCAGCAACTGAACAAGCTGCTGTTGCTGGGTAACACGTTCTTCGACTGCACCAACAGAAGAAGAGAGATGATCTACAAGTCCAAAGAAGGCTAGAGGGAAACCACACAACGCCTCAAATGGCGACATCAACAGGCTATTGTGGAAGTGGGTATTGTAGCACCATTCAGCAAGTGTAAGCCACTCCGCCCAATCTTGAGGCCTGTGGAAATTCATACATCACAAAGAATCCTCAAGATATCGATTAACTCTCTCTGTCTGACCATCAGTCTGTGGGTGGTAAGCAGTCGAATAATGAAGATCAGTGCGATGCAAGCGAAAGAACTCAGTCCATAATTTACTTGTGAAGGTAGCATCGCGATCACAAACTATAGGAGAAGGCATCCCATGGTACTTGAAGACGCCGTTGAAGAAGATTTGAGCAACCTCAGCCGTTGTGTATGGATGCCTTAATATAAAGAAATGTGTTGACTTGGTAAACCTATCGACCACCACTAAGAGTACTTGTTTTCCATGGGACATCGGCAGACCCTCCACGAAATCCATGCTCACGTCTTTCCAAGCTCATGATGGAACAGAAAGTGGCTGAAGCAACCCAGGAGATGCCACTATTTCTGCCTTACTGCGTTGGCAAACATCACACTCCAGTACCCATTGCCGCACTGCTGCTTTCAGACCTGGCCAATAAAAGTAAGATTTAATACGCTGGTAGGTGACCTGTGCTCCTGAATGCCCTCCAACTGGAGAAGAGTGGAAGAGATATAAGAGTTTGGGTCGCATAGCCCCAGAAGATCCCACCACAATGGTGCCCTTGTAATGTAGTATACCAGATGAAAAGGACCAAAGAGAAGGTCCTTGAGATGAAACAACAGTTGCAGCTATCAAATTCCGCACCTCCACATCATTACTGTAAGTCTTCTCAATCTCAGTCAACCATTCTGGAAGTACTGAAGTCAAGGAGCCAAACTTTTTTCAATAAAATAAGCAAATCTTTTCTTTAGAAGCGGAATCTCAGGGGTTGGTTGAAAGGTAAGGATAGCGTGATTGGCCGAGGTAAGGATAGCGTGATTGGCCCTTCTTCTAATTCATCGTCGAAAACATGAGAGAGCATCGGTTGCCCCATTATATTTACCATTCCTGTATTTAATTTAGAAATCAAGTCCTATCAACTTGACCAACCCCTTCTTTTGTATAGCAGTATGCACCTTTTGACCCATTAAGAATTTCAAACTCTCGTGATCTGTAAGTATAATGAATGACCTCCCTTCCAAGTAATGCCGCCGGTGATCGACAACCATTAAGACTGCCAAATACACTTTTTCATATGTGCTAAGACCTTGGTTTTTTACGCATAATGCTTTACTGAAATAAGCCAAGGGTCTTCCCCCCTTGTGAAAGAACAACTCCAACACCCACTCCACAAGCATCAGTCTCGAGTGTGAATGACCTAGTAAAATCAGGTAGGGCCAGGACAGGAGTTGTAGTCATAGCGGTCTTCAAGGCAACAAACACCTCCTCTGCAGCCTCATTCCAAGTGAACCCGTTCTTACATAGGGGATCAGTCAATGGATGACTAATAGTACCATAATGCTTGACAAATTTGCGGTAATACCCTGTCAATCCTAAAAAACCTCGCAACTCTTTAATAGACTGAGGTCTTGGCCAATCCTTCATCACTGCAATTTTAATCGGGTCAGTAGAAACACCCTTACCACTAATAATATGCCCCCAGATATTCCACCTGAGATTGACCAAAAAAGCACTTCAACTCTTTAGCATACAACTGATGTTGTAGCAGTAATTGCAGGGTAATAGTAAGATGCGTCTCGTGATGTATTGTTGTCATGCTGTAGACTAAGATGTCATCGAAGAATACCAAAATGAACTTGCACAAATAATGCCCAAATACATGGTTCATCAAGGCCTGCAACGAAGCTGGGGCGTTAGTTAAGCCAAACGGCATAACTCGAAACTTGTAATGGCCTTAATATGTACGAAACCTTATATTGATCCTCTGGCCGCATTCTAATATGATGATAACCAGCGCGCAAGTCCAATTTGGAGAAGATAACAACGCCATGAAGCTCATCTAACAAATCCTCAATATGGGGGATTGGGAACTTATCCTTAATAGTATCAGCGTTGAGCTCCCTGTAGCCCACACAGAACCGCCAAGTCCCATATTTTTTCCCAATAAGCAGAACACGTGACGCGTAGGGACTGTGACTCTCCTGGATGAATTCGGATTGTAACATCTCCCCTACTAATTTCTCAGCTACTGCCTTCTTATGGGGAGGGGGGACGGTAGGGTCTGATGTTGATAGGCTTAGCATTAGGGAGTAGAGGAATGGAGTGGTCAAAAGCGCGGGAGGGAGGCAAAGATGTAGGAGCAGCAAAAACATCTGGGAATTGAGACAGTACAGGTTTCAAGAAATCAGGGGTGGGAGCTGGCGTTGGCTTGGCATCAATAGAAAACACCGCCCCCATGATTTGAGGCTCGGACTTCCTGAGGAGCTGCTGTAATGAACGACCTGAGATCATCTTACACTGGCCCTCCTTGGTAAGCCCCTGCAAAGTCAAGTTCCTTCCCTTCTAATCAAATGACAATTGCCTCCTCTTCAAATCCACCTGAAATGGACTGATCATTTCCAGCCAATCCCATCCTAACACCATGTCATGAGCAGGGAGATCGAGGGTTCTTACATCAAAAGGAAATTCTTCCCCTTGCATTTTCCAGCTAAATCCCCTGCACACCGATTCACTCAACAATGTATGGCCACTAGCAACTTTCACCCTCATCGGCGTTATATTCTTAGATGCACAGTTTAACTCCTGAGCTCTAATCGAATTCAGAAAAGTATGAGAGCTTCCTGTGTCGATCAAAACTGTTACCTCGCGGCGGTCAGATGTAGCTGGAATGAGCAGAGAGTTTCCAGCAAAGCCAGAACCCATAGATTGTAAGGATACCTCCAATTCGGTGTCGTGAAAATCATCTTCACCATCATTGGTTTGATCCTCAGTCTGCATCACTTGTAATTGGTTCTTTCTGGAGCAGACGTGTCCATGGAAATACTTGTCGCCACATTTGTAGTAGAGCCCCTGCCCTTGAGGGATTGAGCTTTGTTCAGCAGCCGACAGAGAAGGAAGGGATTGCTCCCGCTGAGAAGAAGTGGTTGAGGAAGAAGCAGGAGAAGCAGACCACCTATTAAGAGGAGCAGAACACATCTTCTTTTTGCGGGTGTCGATGGCGGACTCCTCCAATATTACTTCATAAAAAGCACACGCCAAGGTCGGTGGATTGAGTAACTAAATGCGGGGCTGAATTTCATCGTCTAACCCTCCCAGAAAGGTCAAGATGAAGTTGTGCTCATTGAGTTCTGGATTCAATCGAAGCAGCCGCGATCGAAGATCTTCAAACTCTTCCTGGTAGCGAGCAACGGTGGACGTCTGCCTGAGCTTATTGAACGCCACTACCACATTCAACTGTTCACGATTCTCAAACAGATGCAGAAGTTCATCGACGAAATGGCCCCAAATTAGCAGAAAACGTCGGAAAGACCAGCCTTCAAACCACGTATACGCCCGTCCTTCCAAATAGTATGAGATCAAATCGACTTTATGTTCTTCCAGAATTGAGTAAAGAAGAAAGAGCTTGTTACACTTGCTCACCCAAACATGAGGATCTGAACCCGAAAAATAGGAGAACTCCAGGCGAGGATAGTGATCCAAGAGCGATGGTCGTCGCTGCTGAGCACGGAGATGCTGTGGATCGGAAAAGGAAGCCTGCGAATGCGGCGGTGAACAAATCAGAGACTTCTCCCGACTGCGAACGAAGGACGCCGTCAGTGCATCAATGTTTTCCTTCGTGGAAGCTGCAAGCTCCGCAATGGCGGCCTTCAAGTCCTGGTGCTGAGAATCCAGTTTGAGCTGAACAGACGCCATCTGCGTCTCCAAATCAACAATGCGAGAGGTGTGAGAAGCCATTGCCAGATTGAAGGCTCTGATTACCACTTGTAAGGACCTGGATGTGAGATATCTGGCTAAGAGAAGAGAAATGAGGTAGAAGACGGAGTTTGGGAGAAGAGGGATTGAGCTATGTTATTTCTATCTAAAGAGTAAAGTTGTTTACAGAAGAATGATTTGTCCAAAAGATAGCCAATAACAGAACACTCTCCCTATTTATACTTCCTCCCACTTTACACGTCACTTCCAGCTGTACAAGTAGTTACGCCAACTGTACAAGTTGTTACAGCTTGAGAATTATTAGCCCAACGCCTATCAAATACGAAATAATCGCTTCACTTTTTGTGCACGACGATGAATCTTCTATTGGATCATACGATCATTGGAACCATAACCGTTAAATAAAAAATTGCCTAACCCGGGAACAAATCCATCGATGCAAGAAAAAAAAATCGATCTAAACTCATTTTATTTGCAATGCTATTATCCAAAAAAAAAAAAAAACTTTCCACAATCCGCCAAATTTCCCAATTCTTGCTCATTTACCAAAACAGACACCCCCAAAACCGCAGACAATTACCGAATTGCCCCCTCACCAGCTCTTCCCTCTCCTCCTCCCTTCCTTGTTTGCAATTCCTCCTTCCCTTCTCTTCTCCTCTGTGGGTAGGTGCCTCCCCGCTTCTGTTCTGTCACTCACCCGCTCTCTTTTTAACTCACTCTTCCCTTCCCTTCCCTTCCCTTCCCTTCCCCTAGATTTTGTCGCCGATCGCTTCCCCTCTTTTCCGCCCTGGGCCGCCGGACACCGTCTCCGGTATTCCCCTCCACTCCCAAATACCACTATCTCTCTCCACATTCCTGTAGAAATTTATTCAACCGGAGCAAGTAAGTCGCTCCTCTGTTTCTTCTACTCATTGTTTCCCTCTCTGTCTTTGTGTTTGTCCGCGCGCGGGGGAATAGAAGGGAGTATTAGCTGGTTTATGCATGTGAATCCGATTGGTTGAATTTCTCCATGGGGCACAAGAAGCGCGCTGCCGCTCCTCGCTCCAAGCACCAGCCTGTGGCTGCGGCGCCGGCAGATGAAGCTGAGGTCTGTCCTGATCCCAACAACAATCTGTCGATTGTGAAGATCGAGCCAGCAATAGGCTCTCTCGAACTCGACGGGGCCGGTTCCGTCTCGGTCGCCGGCTCAATCAAGCTGGAATGCGAGCGAGCCCTAACGTCGCTGCGGCGGGGGAACCACACCAAGGCGCTGCGGCTCATGAAGGAGTCGTGTTCCCGGCACGGGGACTACTCCCCGCACTCCGCCCTAATCTACCGGGTCCAAGGGACGGTTTGTATGAAGATGGCTTCGATAATTGACGACCCTAACGCCAAACAGAGGCATTTGAGGAACGCCATCGATTCTGCCCGCAAGGCTGTGGAGCTGTCTCCCAACTCGATTGAGTTCTCCCACTTCTATGCTAATTTGCTCTACGAGGTCGCTAATGACGGGAAGGAGTATGAGGAGGTGATGAGGGAGTGTGATAGGGCTTTGGAGATACTGAATCCTGTTGATCCTGCCAAGGAGAGTTTGCAGGAAGAGAGTCAGCTCAAGATAACCACAGCTGAGGCCAGGATTGCTCATGTGCAGGGTGAGCTGAGGAGCTTGAAACAGAAATCCAGTATTGCTTCCATTTCCACTTGGATGAAGAATTTAGGGACAGGGGAGGAGATTAGGCTGATTCCTATCCGACGTGCCATGGAAGACCCCATGGAAGTTAGGTTGGTGCAGACGAGACGGCCTAATGAAATTAAAAAAGCTACCAAGACTCCAGAGGAGCGAAGGAAAGAGATTGAAGTTAGAGTTGCCGCTGCTAGACTCTTGCAGCAGAAATCGGACACATTGGGACATAATAACGGGGAGAGGAGTAACGATAAGGCAGTAGAGTTATCCTCTGGAAGTGAAAAGAGAGGAGAAAGGAGAAAGTATGGGATCAATGCAAGAAGGAATGGTACTAACACGGAAAGGAAGGACTCGGTACATTCATATTGGAACTCAATGAAGACAGACATGAAGAAGAATTTGTTGAAAGTTAAAATAGGTGATTTGCAGGGTTATTTTGGTTCGTCAAAGGATGGGTTAGCGAGTGAGGTCCTGAATGAGGCACTAACGTTTGCAGAGGGGAGAACTGGATGGAGGTTTTGGCTTTGTTGCAGGTGCATTGACAAGTTCTCTACAGCAGAGAAACTTATACATCACGTTGTACAAGAGCACACGGGTAATCTTGTGCCCAAGATGCAGGCTGTCTTGCCTCAAATTGTTGAAAATGAGTGGAGTGAGATGATTATCAATTGTTCTTGGAAACCGTTGGACATCACTTCTGCAGCTAGTATGCTTGGAGATCAAGGTAAATGCCAGGAGGCAGAGCTTGTTCAGGACCTTTTCCTTGGAAACCATGATGGTGAGTGTGATGATTGCTTCAAGGATGCATGGGATTCTTCTCCAGAGAAGGAAATTTTGAGGGATGGATGTAGTGACAACAGCAGTGGAGGAAAGGATACAGATAGAAGTGCAGGTGCTGAGTGTAGAGAATGTGATGACAACCAAGGATCTTTGGCATATCCTATTGACAACTGGGCATTATCCGAGGACTCTGAGAGGGTGAAACTTCTTGAGAAAATCCATGCTGTATTTGAATCTCTTATTAGTCACAAGTATCTTGCCATGAGCCATCTTACCAAGGTGATGCAACTTACGATGGACGAGTTGCAAACCCTTCCTTCTGGTTCTCAACTTCTGAACCATGGTTTAGACCGAACACCTATGTTGATTTGCTTTCTTGGAGCATCCCAATTGAGAAAGATCCTGAAGTTCTTGCAGGATCTGTCTCATGCTTGTGGTCTGGGCAGATATTCGGATTTAGGTAGCGCGATGGATGATACAAATGGCGAGGTTCACACATATGAGTCTAAAGAGGATCTTGTTCTTAGTGTCGATGGAACATTTCTCTACTTGGACGAGAGTCTATTGCCTTCTGAATGTGCGCAGGAGAATGGTACCACGAGCTCTGGTAATCCTGAAAACTTGGTTCCACCTGATACCGATTCATTATTGACATGGATATTTTTAGGTCCCTCTAGTAGTGATCAACTGCAGTTATGGATACGAAGAAAGGAAGAAAAAATACAACAAGGAATGGACATTGTTCAGACTCTTGAAAAGGAGTTTTACCATTTGCAAAGCCTTTGTGAGAGGAAATGTGAGCATTTAAGCTATGAGGAGGCATTGCAAGGTCTCGAAGATTTCCTTCTTGAAGAAGCTAAGAAGAGAGAGGATATGGCTCCGTCTGAATTAGAAAGCTTCGATTCGATTCTTAGGAGGAGGAGAGATGATGCCGTTAATAGTGCGAATGATGGACTGTTAAGTGACAGAAAGTACGAGTTAGATATTATATCAAGTGTGCTAAAAGAGGCAGAAACTTTGACAGTTAATCAATTTGGATATGAAGATAATTATGGTATGGCTTCTCAATCATGTGATCTTGAATCTGGTGAAAATAGTGATGGCAGAAGCAGAGACTATATCCATCAAGTGGATTCTTGCGTTGAAGTTGCTATCCAGGGACAGAAAGAGCAGTTATCTGTTGAGGTTAGTGTTTTGACACTAGATGCATATGCCTAATGGAAACTGATTTTGGTTTTGGTTTTGTTTGTATTTTCTTGTGACTTCGGCTTTTTATACTGCAGCTAAGCAAAATAGACGCCCGTATCATGAGAATTGTGACAGGGATGCAGCATTTAGAACGCAAACTTGAGCCTGTTTCTGCATGTGACTATCTGTCAATACTATTGCCTCTTGTGAAATCTTATTTGAGGGTTTGTAATCTACTCATATTTACTAATGTCTGCTGCAATCTGTGAATGAACTTCGTTATATGTGACCTTGTCACTTCTCTTAACAGGCTCATTTAGAGGATCTCGCGGAGAAAGATGCCACAGAAAAGTCTGATGCTGCCAGAGAAGCATTTTTAGCGGAGCTTGCTCTAGATTCTAAAAAAGCTGCCCGAGGAGGTAGTGATACTTCAAGAAACCCACATGAGAAGAAGGACAGGAAAAAGAGCAAAGAGTTGAAAAAGACAAAGGACTCTAAGGTCTGAAGTTAACATTTGATCACCTTGTTAGTTCTTAAAGTAGGAGATATAATACCAAACTCTTACCATTGTTTAACTTTTCTGTGATTGCAGACTTCTTTTGGCAATGAGCTGCCGTTGCTTCATGATGAAACCATTGAGCTGGAGTATGTCTTGTCCCTGACTGAGCTTTGCATCATGTTTCAGTCTGCTGCTATTAGTGCTATTCACTACATGTTGTGCTCGTATCATTCTATTTGTGGCTGAGGATGTTACCCTGTATTTATCGTGGAATGTTTCTTCCTGCTTGTAGCACTTTTCTACTCTCGCCAGACGATGATCCAGGTTCTGAGATTCTTCCTTCTGCAAATGGTGTGGACCTGAGACAGCAGGAGGAAGAATTTCGTCGCAAAATTGAGCTAGAGGAGGAGGAAAGAAAGCTGGAAGAGACTCTAGAGTTCCAACGGCGAATTGAGAATGAAGCAAAACTGAAGCACTTGGCTGGGCAGCAACATAAGCGAGCTTCTAAGACATTTCTAGATAACCATACTGAGACCCAGTTTGATGTCTCCAATGAGAAAGAAGCTATTAATGGCCAGAATTCCTCGGTAAGGATTGTTGCCTGGGTTGACTGTTCTGTTTCTTTGTGAATTAGTGATTTTGATTAATGCCATCAGTACAAGCAATCTTAGCCGGACCTCTGTAATTAATGTTTTGAGCCAAATCACATGATTGAAGAAAACCTTGTGAATTCACAGTTTCAGGAGCAGTTAGGAGAGGCAAATGGCTTATCTAGCAACAACGAAGTTGAACAATTGACTGCTGGAAATGCTTCCGGCTTGCTGATTAAATCTTCTCCAATATCTGCTTCTGAAGTTCTTAGTCATGGGCGTAGTGGTAAACTACACCAAGTTTTGCACTATTTTCTTTCCGACTTGGTCTTTGGTACTCAAACATTAAGTGACTTGAGCATCGTCTATATTTTGCAGGTCTCCCTAATGGAGCTGCTACAGAAAATGGTGTTCTAGGTTCTGAACGAAGGACGGGGAGGAGAGCTAGGCGACAGAAAACCTCTTCCAGATCTGTTGATAGCAATTCTCAGCTTACATCAGCTGAGAAAGAAAATACACTTGTTGTGAGTGGTATGTCCTATCAAGCCTATGAATTTCTGTTCCCCCAAGGATTCTTTGAATGCGCATCTAAATGAATTTAATACTACTAGTTCTCAGAATTTCTAGACGTGGTGCAACACGATGACATAAATAACAATAAGTTCTTGAGGGTTGTATTCACCTTCAAGAATGAGTCAGGAAAGGAAATCTTCCTGATTATGCTTCTATAATTTTATCAAGAGATGACAAGAGCTAGTGATTGTCTGAATCTGCCCTATTGAATGTTTATATCCCTCAAAGCAAAACAGGTGGCTTTTGCTACAAAATATGTGAAGCGTTAGAAAATCAGTACGCAATTGCCAAAATATGTTCTAATCTAATATATCATATGATACAGAGATTGATATATGGGGTTTGGAGAGTTTAGTCCTGTACAGGAGAATTACTTGCATAAAAAAATTAGACTCTATATACATGGACTCTTCCACTTGAACTCTAGGGTGTAGTATTGTATGAAGCATAGTATAACAGCAAGCACTGTAAGTTAGTCCGCAAGCTCTCACCCTTTTTTATACATGCATTATAAAGATCTCCTCGTTACCACCTAGTTGATGTTCACATTTCTGACCTGGGATGTTGTCTAATGTGTTAGCAGTTGGAAATCTGACCTAATTTTGCTTCTGTTTGTAACCAGTTAATCTGAATTATGGAGATACGGGAACCAAGACATTGAGACAGTTACATGTGGAGGAAGATTACGAGGAAAGATTCCAGGAAGACCTTAGACAGGCTGTACAAAAAAGTCTGGGTAAGATAGATTATCGGTGCTTAATGAGCTGACCAGTATGATCCTTCTCATTCTATGATTATGGGTGGATGTTAGGCTTTGACCGAAGCCAGTATAAGAAAAAGATTAATGTTCTGGACTGTCTGCTATCTTCTGCTTTGGAATTGCTTCTAACTTCTATGTCTTCTGGTTAGCATGGACTTGCTGAATTCTTCCACGTTACACATCTCCATTTGCGTCCTTTCTCTGGATTTGAATATTGAGAAAAGTGTTTGTTGTAGTAGCTTGCTATTGTATGTTTACAAGATTTCATTTAAAGTCTTTGTTAACTTGGGTGAAGCAAGTTTCAGTGGTTGCTAATCTGTTTAGTGAAACATAGTGCATCTAGGTTCAGTATCAAGTTGTTTTGAGAATGGGTAATAACTTTGGTCCCCTCATTTCACTTCACGCTATCTGTTTCTTCTGGTTTTCTTTTACGTCTCCTTAGAAGCCATGATTTCCGTGCCACTCTTCCCGGATTCATCAGATGATTCTAAATACACAATTCGTTCTTGTAATCCACATTATTGCACTTAGACTCGAGGCTATTGCTATGGAAATGCTGCTATAAGAAACTCTGTATCCATATAAGTTCGTTGGCCTGTGTACAAGTTACAAAACATTGACTCAACCTCGGGAAAAGAACAGTATGCTTGCCTGTTTCTTTGTGATCTTAAAATATCTTACATGTATATTTTGCATTTCTGCTTACTTTTAGATGACATACAAGTTCACCAGAACACGTCTTCCATTCCAAACTTGAGAACGCCACCAAAGACAACTTTGGAGACGAGACCTTCAGATGCCTTGCAAAATGAGGTTGCAGTTGGAAATGAGAATGGAATTGATGTGTTTGGGACTGGCCTTCAGAATGATGTTGGTGAATACAACTGCTTTCTGAATGTAATTATACAGGTAATTTCAACTTGCTGCATCATTTTGTTCAATGAGGGTTATGCAGTTGGTTGTCTGACATTTTTGTTGGTTGTTTCTCCTACATGCGCAGTCCTTATGGCATTTAAGGCGGTTTCGATGTGAATTCATGAGGAGGTCGATATCAGAGCATTTTCATGTGGGAGACCCATGTGTTGTTTGTGCATTGTACGATATTTTTTCTGCTCTAAGCCATGCATCTATAGATGTCCGAAGAGAAGCTGTTGCTCCTACATCCTTGAGGCTGGCTTTGAGCAACCTTTATCCAGATAGTCATTTCTTCCAGGAGGTAAAGTAGGAATGTCTGTTCCCAAAACGTGGTTGACTTGTATATCACTTTGGGGACTTTGCACCTTCCCATCACAAGACTAGTTCATAAAGAGGCATCTGTATCACAGTCTAACGGTAATGTGGTGGTAATTTTCAGGCTCAGATGAATGACGCATCTGAAGTGCTTGCTGTAATATTTGATTGCCTTCATCAAGCTTTTACATCGGGATCAAGCGTCTCTGATTCCGATTCAGTAGAAAGTAATTCCATGGGATCTTGGGATTGCACAAACAACAACTGCCTTGTCCACTCTATATTTGGCATGGACGTATTTGAAAGAATGAATTGCTACAGTTGTGGCTTGGAGTCTAGGCATCTGAAGTATACATCTTTCTTTCATAACATAAATGCCAGCTCTCTTAGAACAACCAAAGTATGTGTTCCCAGTAAACAATTCCTTCACTTTCTTCCGTGGTTGTAGGTTTTAGCTCTGGGACTTTACTAATGTAGTTATGGATTTGATTTGTTCCCAATTCAGGTGATGTGTTCCGAAAGCTCCTTCGATGAGGTCTTAAATGTTGTAGAGATGAATCATCAATTAGCTTGTGATCACGAGGCTGGTGGTTGTGGGAAACCCAACTACATTCATCATATTTTATCAACTCCACCACATGTCTTTACGGCAGGTAAGTCTCAGTGTGGTTATGTTAAATTCTATTTTTTTGCCCAAGGATGAAACTCCTATAGAAATTAAAAAAATCCAATGCCTCATTAATCTTCCGTATGCAGTGTTGGGATGGCAAAATACATGTGAAAGTGCTGAAGACATAGCAGCCACTTTGGTGACTTTAAGTACAGAGATTGATATTAGTGTCCTCTACCGCGGTTTGGATCCAAAGAATGTGCATACCTTGGTTTCAGTGGTATGTATTGCTGTTGAGTTTTAACTATTCCAGTCTAACGAGGGAAATGGAGTGGTATTCGTAATTATGGACGATATTAACCTCGAGAATTTGGTGCAGCTTGATCTCCACTAAGCCTCTTAATGTCTTTCAGGTCTGCTATTATGGACAACATTATCATTGCTTTGCATACAGTCATGATTATGAAAGGTGGATTATGTATGACGATAAAACTGTCAAGGTGGGTTGATAATGCGGTACGATATATCGTGTCGATTTTACTGCTTTACTTTCTCTGGATAGTGACGCATTCAATTTTGCTTTCTAGGTAATCGGTGACTGGGCAGATGTGCTTAGCATGTGCGAGAGAGGGCATTTACAACCTCAGGTTCTCTTCTATGAAGCTGTGAACTAGTAAAAGCTAAGCATGTTTTTACAGGTGGTGGAAATTGTTAGTTTTTGCCTGCACCTCGAAACATCGAAGCTTAATCCTACTGTGATTATATCTCGGTGAGGCAACTGTTAATAGCTGATACACCACCATGACTTTTTAACTCAAGTACAGTGCGCACACGGACAGTAATCGATCCCTCCCCAGAGAAAAGGTTTCTAGTGGGAAGCAAAGTTTTGACTGAATCAAACGGGGGAGGAGAAGGTGTGATATAAAACAATCTCGAGATTTTGTATACATAGCGAAGAGGTTATTAGTGTTGGAAGAAGAGCGCGACTCGAAGGGAGAAGGAGAATCAGTGTGTATTGGATTGGAGGTGAGATATTCTTTTTTGACCTTTCTTTAGACTAGAAATGGAAAAGCAGTTCATAGTAGAGAAGCTGAGGGAGGAATGTAGTTCTTGTCGGTATAGACTGTAGAAGGAAGGAGCAATGGGGGGTCATATATATATATATATTTTGTGTCAGGGAATCCATTCGGAATAAAGTGAAACAGTAAATTATTCCTAGCGGGTTGCCTGGCGGTGAAATGAAAGAGGAATGAGTCGTCTGCTGCCTGGAGGACCTTTGCATATATATAAATTTCAAGTCCGGGGGGAAATTTTCCAAGTGGTATTGGTTAAGAGTTACGATGTTGATGATCACGATGATTTACACAGACGTTATGTATCTTGAGAAATTATCAATCAATTTTTGGCCAGCCTTGTCTCCCTTGTGTTGGTTGTTTTTCCTGATTTGTTGCTTTACCACACAAGTGAAAAAGGTTTTACAAGGGAGTTGAGCAGTTGCATAATCTTTCTTATTAGATGTGTGGGTAGCTCGAATCTCCAAATGTTCTGTAGTCAGCCAGCCATTTGATGCCCTGGTGATGCTTGAGCAAGAAAGGATAAGTTGGCTGTGTTGCGATATTATTTATTGATGGGATGAGGTAATTTGATGAGTTATTTTGGTTAAAATCATTTGTTTGTCAAAAATAAAAAAATATGTGCTATTTTGTTCATGAGAATTGAGGCCGTTGAAATAATTAATAGTGAGTTATTTGAAATATCTACATACCCCTACTTATTTCAAATAACTCATTCCTCAATCTCTTTTTCCACTCCATTCCTTTTTAGGTGGTGAAATATCACATTCCAATATTTGAATGTTTTATCCAAACATGACAATTTACCAAATTACCACATTCCAAACTAAAATATCACATGAAATATCATATAGCAAAATAATGCCACATTTTGATTCGAAATACCACAAAACTAAAATGATGCATCCAAACGAACATTCTTGTTGTTGGCGGTAGCGAGAACAATTGAACTTGGACATGTAGTTATCCAATCTTACCAAACCGGGTCAAATTTGTAAATCAACAACTATCCAACTTGGCTCGTTCCTAGTCAAACTAGGTAAATATTCCAAGTTGACGAGTTTTGGATTAGGTGCGAATTTTACCTGCTTTTGGGTATGGATTTTCAAAACTCAGCCTGGTTTTTACATGATGTATTGTATTTATAGATGTTTACTGTTTATGAAAATATAATTCTAACAATATGGATAATTTATGAATGATATGAGTCTTTAATCTTTATAGCAATATGGGTGTATGAAATGTTATGATATAATCAATGATGCGGGTATGAAAATATAATTCTAACAATATAGATAATTTGTGAATGATATGAGTCTTTAATTTTTATAGCAATATAGGTGTATGAAATGTTATGATATAATTAATGATGCGGGTGTCGGGAGGATTTTTTTTAGTTATGTCCATGAATGAATTCATGGGTTTACATGCACCCGATGATAGCCATTGGATTGAGTTTTCTCTTCCAAAACCCGATCATCTTTCATCCAGATGATTACCTTATCTGGTTAATGTGTTGATCCATCCATCAGTGAAGTAATTTAAGTTTATATCTTTTAATTTATTAATGTACATGCTATATAAATTTTTTCATCTAATTTATGAACATGTGTTAACATCTTAATTATCTATATATTTGTTGAGTACGGTTACGGTATTTTTATTTTAAGAAAATACAAAATGTCCCATAAATTGCTCCGGTAAAGTCAGGATGAAAAGTGTGCCTCCTCTTAATTTTAACCTTTGAAAGTAATTCATCATGGTAATTTTAAAAAAAATTCAAAATTTTTGTATGTATTTGAAAATCTATAACATTTAAAGTGTCAAAAAATAAATTTGATCAATATAAAGGTCTATGATGCAATGCAATATCTGCAATTTATTATTATTAATATATCTACATTTCAAATGAAAAGAATACATTGCTATACTGAGAGAGAAGTTCCGTTTAAAAAAAGTAAATAAAAGTCGGTTACAAAATTGGATTAGAATCTTTCTTTTATTATAAGAATTCTAACCAGTAATTACCACCTAAATATATATGCCAAAATAATATATGTTTTTTCAATATGAAATCTATGTTGTATATTTTAGAATTTAGATGTTCTATTAATATATTCAAATTTCTTATGAAAATATTATTATATTAACTAAACAAAGAAAAAATTGGTTAAATAATGGATTAAGAAATGGATAGGTTCCATAATAAAACCCTTCCTTTTCTAGTATTATAAAGGCAAAATACACTTGTATAGTCAAAACTGTCGCTTTTGTGTCAATAATAGTCAAATTTAGGGAAATACCACTTATAGCCGGTTTTGAAAGTTGTTGTTTGACAAATATAGTCATTTCCGTTAGATACTTTAAGGGTGTTATTAACACCGTCAACTTATTTAACGGTTTGCTGACTAGGTGCCAACTCAACGGACACGACAGCGCCACATAAGCAAATAATGACACGTAAGATATTTTAGTTATTTAATATTTACACAGCATAAATAAAAAAAAATTACCCTCACATATCTCATCTGCTTTGCACCACCCATCTTCCCCAAATTTCCCCAAAGCCCCGAATCCTCAGCGGCGAATCCTCTACCCTAAAGCCCCTCCATTCTTCATCTTTCTCGTAGATAAAACTCGCCATTGACGATGCCCGGCCACCATTATTGACAATAGCGAACACTTCCCAGTATGCGAGAAGCTTAGATTCTCAATCCAGATCCTACAATGAACAAAACCCAGAGTTGGATATTGATGCTACCTGTTAGATTTGCACAATATTTTGACATCCTTTCACTGTCGGCTAGAAGAAGAACGAGACGTCTTTGCTTGAAGATGATGGGCGACCACTTTAAAGGGCTTGCCGGTGTAGGATTTTGAAATCCCCATCTGTGAACTCTAACCATAGTTCCTAGAAATCCCTAATCTGTCAATCGTTTGAGTTTGAGTGAGAGCTGAAATTTCGACCTTGCCGCTTACGACCTTCGAACCTGCCAGAAACTTTTCCTCTGTAATCTTTGAACCCTGAATTGAAAAAGGGGTGCAAAAATATGGTGTTGCATTGCGAGGAGAAGGAGGAGGAAGAAGGAGAAGACCTGGTCGACGAGACGGAGAGCTTCTGGTACTCCTCCAGAAGCTTCTCCTTCGACGACATGTCGTGAAAGTTCAGCCGCCGGGGATACGATGGGGAGCGAGAACGAGGAGGGAAAGCTGCTGCGGCGGGCCGGGGAGGGTGGCGGGAGGGCAAACCCGACTACTGGACCGGCGCAAATCCTCTTCCCCAAATCCCATATTTCCAATTTGAGGGGTTTTTAATTCAATTTTGTAGAGAAGAAAAAGGGAAATAAGTCATTTACTTCATTTCCAATTTGAGGGATTTTTTATTTATTTATGGTCAGTTAATTTTTTTCTAATTAATCATTATCCATGTGGACAATTACAGAGTAAAAGGGAAATAAAAGCTCGCCACGTAAGCATTTCCGTTTGTCCAGTCACACTTAACGTTAACACCGTGAAACAATTAGACGGAAGTGGCTATAAGTGATATTTCTCAAAATTTAACTATTATTGGCACAAACGCGAAAGTTTTGACTATACAAGTGTATTTTGCCTATTATAAAATCTTATCAAATGGTTGTAATTTGGGAAGGACAAATCTAATGGTCTATATCTTAAAGGGACAACAAGAGAAATAGGAGGTTTAGGGAAGAACTGACCGGATTTTTGACGAATTTCTAAGTGTATTGTGAATGCACTTTTCAATATTCGTGGAAAATTCAATAGACAATAGCTCATTAATTTTAAATTTGACTCCCAAATTTTTGCGTAGAGATATCATATTTTTTGTGTTCTACAAGAATACAAGATGATATCCATTTTCATATTTTTTTGTAACGAAATTTCAGGCTATCGTACTACTCTCATATCACGATATTACCACTGAGAATGATATGATACCATAGTGATATAATGTTGACATGATAGTGATATTATCTGGTGTGAAGTCTTATGTTTGACAAAATAATTTGATGCCATTATATCATTGTCATGTCATAATATTATCATTGTAGTATAAAGATAGTATCATGATATGAAAAAAACATGATGTTGGTATGAATCTTATGTTTGACAAAATAATTTGATGATAAAAAAGGTAAAATATCATTGCCATATTCGTGTATAGGTGTCAAAACTGAACCCGACCCAACTAACCCGCTCGACTAACCCGACCCGCAACCGGAATTAACTAAAAGTCAATGGCCCCAAACCCCCGACCCGCAACCCAATTGATCCATGACTCGATTAACCTGTAACCTGAATAACCCGAACCTGATTAACCATAACCCGATTGACCCGCAACCCGACTGGCCCGAACCCGACTAACCCGTAACCTGCCCGATTGACCCGAATAATTATTATATTATATAAAATTTCAAAATGAATTTTCTTTGTTGTAAGACTAAGTAAAACTATTTTTTCATTTTATGAAAGAACAAAAAAAGATATTGAGTTGAAATTATATGTTTTTAATAAAAGAAATAAGCGGGAGTTTTGATATTTTGGTTTACAGGAAGAGAAAAAGTGAAATTTTTAATATTTTCAACTTTTTGGGGGGAAAATAAGGGAAATTTGGTGCTTAAATTTTGGGAAAAGAAAGAAGGGGGAGTTTTGGTGTTTTGGGTTATACGAAGAGAAAGAAGTGAAAAATATTAGTATTTTCAATTTTTTTGAGAGAAAAGAAGAGGAAAATTTGGTACTTCAAGTTTTGAGAAAAGAAAGAAGTGAGAATTTGGTGCTTTGGTTTATAGGAAGAAAAAGAGGTGGAAAAATTGATGTTTTCAACTTTTTGAAGAAAAAAAAGGAGGAAAAATTGGTACTTCATGTTTTGGAAAAAGATAGAAAAGTGAGTTTTGGTGCTTTTGATTTATAAGAAGAGAAAAGAGTTTGAAATTTTGATGTTTTTTATTTATGGAAAGAAAAATAAGGGGAAAATTTTGTATTTTCATTTTTTTTTTAAGAAAAAGAATAGAGAAAGCTTATCACAATGATTACATATGATGGTTTATGAGTTTAATTAATTATCGATTTGATTATCATAATGTTTACATATGATGATTTAGGAGTGTAACATTTAGTGACTAAAATATTGTATATACTCTATAACAAAACTTACAATAGCTTATATGCATGACTAATTTGATGTAGTAGATTTGAGAACATGTAAAGAGTTATCTTATCTCAAATGCATATTATTTTATATTTAGGTTGAAAATTAATCTTACTCACTAATTCTTCCACCACATTTTTATTTAGGTGGAAAACTTCCCCTCTCTCATTTTGATATGTTCATCCCAACTTTTCACTTCTCCACTGTTTCCCTCCCTACTTTTCGTTCTTCTCATTTTGCTTTCCCTCTACAATTTGTCCTTACTAAAATGAAAATACAATGAGGAAAATTCTCTTTCAATTCGACCCACCAACGCTTCAATTCCTTTTTTGTTAAACCTGATTTCCATCTCCCATAAATGGTTGTTTATGATATTAGTGTCTTGTCTTGATTTTGCATATGGATATAAA